GGGGGGGGGGGATGACAATTCTCCCATCCAGCATAATGAAAGCACATTTATCCCCTACAAGGCCAGCAGGAACATGTACAAATTACCACGCCTCCATGACCGGCAAGGAAATAGAAAAAAAGTAAGCAAACAGGCGCACATGCTTCGACCAAGGCCTGTTACCGTTCCGTCCACACGTGTGCTGGGGACAGGGCGCATGCGTACAGCACATCGATCTCCGGATTCGCATGCGGACGTTAGCGTCAAGCTGGAATCGTACACAGACGGACAGAAAACAGCCGTCGAGTTGCCCCTTGCTCGAACAGCGGTGACTTACCTGTCAGCTGGGCGGCCGATGGTCATTAGAAACACACACACACACATACACAACTTTCAGACGCATTGAGACTGACGAATTCTCATTGGAACACCGGCTGTATAGCACAGTCGATGCAAAAAAATTAATAATTCAGCAGTGCACACACACACACACCTTCTTGGAAGCCTCCTTGTTGCTGGTGTTCTGCAGGATCCTGAGCTGCACGTTGATCAGCTCTGTGAGCAGCACGCTCGTATCTCGATATCGGTTGTTGGTGTTGGAACCCAGAGTCAGGTACCGCAGCAGGAAGAAGCTGATGAAGCAGCACCACACCAGTAGCTGGGTGGAATGAGGCACGGGGAAGGGAAGAAAGGGGGGTGTACTCTTACGTTTCGCATGCCTTGGCGGTTGGACCGTTGACCCCGCGTCCTCGAGAGGGATTAAGGGCAGGAGGGAGGGAAGCAAGACGGCAGCAGCACGCAGGTGAGACAAAGGGAGACATATGGGGGCTGCGACAATAGGTTGGTGTGTCGCATCTCGTGGCACCGGTCCTGCCCTGCACCAGCTCCATACCTCAAAACAGCAGCCAGAGAAATAAAAACAAGCGCACAACTTCCGGCCTAAGGCCTCAACCAACGCCCCCACCTCCCAGTGCACCACCGTCGAGAGGAATCGGGACTCCCTGCTGATCGCCTCCGACAGAATCGCGGCCAGGAGGGCGAGGGACAGGAAGAACGCCGACGACACCACCGCGTCCGCCTTGCGCTCCCGACGGTGGCGCCGGAGCCAGGTCTTGCCGGCCCTCAGGGCCAGCCACACCCGGATGTTGGCCACGTTCTTGAGGGAGAAGTGGGGGATGCGGTGCTTCCTCGCGCGCTGCGAGGAGGTCAGGGCGCAGAAGTACTTGGAGTACATGTAGCGCCGCTGCGTTTTGTTGTTAGGGGTGGTGTTTGGGACAAACAATGCCGCCCCGCCAACGACAAAATGAAAAGGAAGAGCGTGGGGCGGCAAATGAGGCGCACAAGTAAGGGTAGGCAGGGGGGAGGGGAGGGTCGAAAATAAGCTGGACCGGGGTATGTAGTGCATCACTAAACGGGAAAATGGCGGTCGTCGCCATACATCTAGTTGTGCGGCTGAGTGAACCTCAAAACCGCACGCGCCTACGACACAGGAACAAAGGCGGGAAGGGAAGACACGCGGCTCTGCCTCGAGGGATCCCGAGGATACCGAGCGTAGACTCCACGCAGGGGAACGCGCGTGGAGCAGTAGTCGCCACGTGACAACAGCAGGCCATCAATCAGCTGAAACCTGTTCTTTTGCCACGCCTGCTGAATCGCCTCTAGGAGATACATTAAGTCTCGCACGTGGTACGGCGTGCTTCTTCCTCCTCTCGAGCCATCCGACAAAAACGTGCGCACACATCACGGAGCGCAAAGTTTCGCAAAGCCGCCACCCTCCACGCCGTCGTGCTCCGTTCCGGTTTTGTAAGCATGCGACATGAATGGTCTAACGACTACGGCATGCACCGCAATGAGTACCCCCCCC